AGCGGCCATTCCTTCGCCGGTCCGCCGAATACTATCGACTCGAGAGTCGCTCTCTTTTGGCGCAAAACGACGCTTCCGTTTACGTGAAGAGAGTCGAGGAAGTGATCCGCGAAGAGTCGGATCGAGTCGTGCAGTGTTTGGACGCATCCACTGAACTGGCGATCGCTTCGCTCATCAATGAAGAGCTGATCACAAGATATGTGATGACAATCACAGGAATGGATAACTCAGGAGTGGTTGCGTTGGTTAGGGATCGCAGGAGTGAGGACTTGATCCGTATGTACGAAGTGTTGAGTCGAGCGCATAATGGTGTGGAAGAGATCCTCAATTGTTTCAACGATTATCTTAAGACTAAAGAGGTTATGGCTGTCGATGTGGTAACAGATGACGATATGGACTCTTGTGAAAACATGTCCACAACCTGTGATACCACTGTCTATACGAAAGACTCTTTGGACCGATTCGGTGATGATTTGTGTCAACACTTATTGAGTTACCTATCATTTGAGGACCGATTCCGATATGAATGTGTGTCTAAACAGTGGCAGCGTTTGGTTTATAACACGCAAAGGGATCTCATTGTGGACTATAACTGCAAATTCAAGGCATTAATTACCGACCAGTCGTTTGACATAATTGTGGGAAAGTGTAGAAACATTACACGAATTCACTACGAGTTAGGCCTACAGTCAAAGCCATTCAACGCACCAAAGTTTGTATCAATTGTCAAACACTGCCATCATCTCAGATCTCTTAGGTTAATTTTAGACATACCAAGGTAATGCTACATTTGAACCTTTATGAAATAAATATGATTTTGATTATTTTTTATCATTTTTATTTTCATTAACATTTTGATTAATAAATATGATTTAAGCCTTAAATGTTTATACAATAAACGCAATAACTGTAATATCAGTGTATACAATATGACAATGTATTCAATACATAATAAATTGTAATCAAAGTTTTAAAAAAAAGTTTAAAAGTTTAAAATGTTTGACACAAAAAAGTATTGACAGTCCGTTGGGGACGCGAACCGACGCACGCATGCAGTGTATGAGTCGTGCGAAAGGGGCGCCACTTATGCACTGTTTGTCAAACATTCACGAAATGTTTGTAAACAGTGTCAACATTTCACGTCAAGAATTGGTCTCAAAAGTGACCAAAAGAGACACATATAGTGAATATGAGATAGTCTTCGGTGGTTTGGTCTGAAAGGATGGTATGTATGAGTCGTACGAAGTATTCAACACTCAATTCATGCCATAAATTGTGTTATCAATTGATAGCAAAGTATTGTCTCATAAGAGGTTAGCAATGGCCTCAAGAAGTGGTGACACAAACGAGTGGCAAGTCTTCGGCAAAGACTCGCTCGACAGACAAGACTTTGGCGACGATTTGTGTGAACTCTTATTGTCTTACCTGTCGCTCGACGACTGCCTACGACTGGAACCGGTTTCCAAACAGTGGCGCCGATCGATGTATAGGTCGCGCACTGAGCTCACCATTGATGACGACTTCGACGCCTCCGTTGACATCGACTCGCAGTCGTTTGAATCGATGGTCAAAAAGTTGACAAACGTGTCGACAATCGACTTCTCGAGACCTGGCTTTCGGATGACCGACGCGATGGTGGACTCGATTACAAGACACTGCCATCGCTTGAATGACATCTATATTGAGTGCGATTTGGATGACATCAGTGTCGGCGCCATCGATGGCCTGTTCGCGAGGTTTGCCAATCAGTTGACGTCAGTTGTGGTCATGAATTGCGGCCGAAGTCGCGGTATTGTCGAGTCTGTTGAGCGGAATCTCAAGAATTGTCACAATTTGACGGAATTCTGGACGTATTACGAGCGCAATGGTCACGAAAAGGGGTTTCAGATGATAGTGGGTGCCAATGATGAGCTTCCGTTCCCCCGATTGCAGTCAATTAACTTCGAGTACACCCATCAAGACATGCCGTGCTTTAAGACGTTTGTCAATAGCTATAGAAATAGTTTGCAATCATTTGAAGTGTTTGTGGATAAGAGTTGCGATGAGGAGGCCANATTTGAAGTGTTTGTGGATAAGAGTTGCGATGAGGAGGCCATTGATGTACTGATGTCTGGTGTGTCGCGAATGCAGGCTTTGATTGATTTACACATTAATTGCTTGTGTTTAGTGTCCATACAATCACTGCCCAATCAGTTGAGACAAATCGGTATGAATTGCGCGAAACTCAAGAGTCTATTACTGCATGTGTTTACCGATAGCGACGAGACTTTCGGTCAAATCATACAAACAGTTAATAAACACTTTAAGGGTTTAAAGCGATTGCGAGTTAAACGCTATATGAGCGCAGAGTCCGTCAAAAACTTTGTGTTTATCACTGAATCTCTGGATCAATGCAAACGATTAACGCATTTAACGCTGGACTGCGAGTACCGGTCACTCGACGACTGTTTCGTATTAAATGCGAGCAAAATATTCCCAAAACTCGAGTATTTGCACCTAAAAGGCCTGAAAATAACGAACAGTGCGTTGAATTCATTGTCAAAATTGGCAAAAATACGATACATTAAACTCAAAGGCATTGAGTTATTCACGCAAACGGCGGTTAATAATCTGTTTATAAAGTGTCCCAAAATTATTGATGTTTTCATTAATGACTAATGATTTCAATTGTAATCTCATTCATAATGTTAGTGTTGAGTGCGTTAATAGTTATATATATCGGTAATTGTATTACTAATCCAGTATATTGTGTGCTGAGCATTTTTAGTTAACCTGGTTAGATTTTTATGATGTGTTATTAAATTATTTAAACTTATTTGTTGTGATTTAACATTAATTTTATGTAACGATTGCCAAACTGTTATATTTAATTAATTATTGTTTAATTTTATGAATTGTTAATAACAATCTGATTGTAAATTTTGTGTTTGACAATAAAGTTTTACAGCATATTGCGCAAAATAATAGTTTTAATCATTACAATGTAATTATTAATTGTCAAACTTAAGTACAATTAATTCAATAAATTTAAAAACTATTAATATTACAATTGAAATTTTTGCGCATTTGTTATCATCACAATTACTCGCAGAGATGGCACTCGCGCTGTGTTTACATTGCGTTCACTGTCTGTCACACGAAGTGCTAAACAGCTGTTCATTGAATCGCGAGTTTACAGTTACTGTATGCGTTTGATTCACGATTAACACAGTGATTAGATCACCTGGATCATAGTATCGACTGTATATTCATATATAACATCAACTCATTGCGTTCATAACAATTGTTCACTCAATTTATGGACACCATTGCGAGCACCGGTAGCACTGGTTATAATGCACTATTGAACAGTAAGTGATTCACTCGTGGGTTCACTAATGCATGAAAAATATTATTTGTTTTCACATTAAATGTTCAGTTGTTTTGGTGTCCATACAGTCAGCCATTGATAGCCAAGTATTGTCTCATAAGTGGTGAGAGGAATGACCGCAAGAAGTAGTCATACAATGAATGCACAAAAAGTCTCTTTGGACCGATTCGGCGATGATTTGTGTGAAGTCCTGTTGAGTTACCTGTCAATTAAGGACCGATTCAGATATGAATGTGTGTCCAAACAGTGGCAACGATTGATATACACGACAGTCA